AAGAGATTCATCATCATTAAACTTATTTTGATGTTGTATCAATCGCATTGATAGTTATATCAAATTAAAAAATTTGATTAATAAATTTAGCAAACCTTGGTTAAAAAAAAAATACAAAAACAAAAAAAAAAAAAATAAAAAGATAATTATTAATCATTCTAAAAAATTTTTATCGATTAAAATTTAAAGAGCACAATTTCTCATATAGTAACGGACGATTTAATCTGAATTAATTGAAATTATCATATCAGCTTGTCAAACGATTATTAATGATTCGAATTTAACCGTTAACTTTATAAATGTTAGTCTATAAAGATGGTAATAGCTGTTCGATTTTAAATTTCAGTATTAGTTGATCAGTTTTATCATGAGATTCGAATAAAAATTATGTTTTTATTAAAAATTTTATAGGATTAGCGATAGAAATAGATATGCAAATTGGGGGATTAAATAGACAGTTCCAAGAGAAATGAGTCATTGAACATTTTAAAGTTTAAATGATATTCAAACGACTTTTTGTTTCAATCGTGACTTGTTACACATTCTATCGAGCAAGCCTATTTTAATCGATCATAGAACAAAATATACGACGTGACTCATTCGCGTTTAATCGTATTTTTTTTCTCACGGAATAGACATTTATCGATATCCATTATATATCTATTTTATTTATTAACGATTCTAATTTAATCCTTTTAATATCTTATAAATAAACTAATTCGTTAATCGTTTAAGAATTATTTTGAAGGATACACGATTTTGACAGATTAAAATTATTTCTATTGTTTTATTTTACTTTATTTTATTCTATTCTATTTTATCGTGGAAGAAAGGAAAAAAAGATTATTTCCAAGAAATAAAAAAAAAAAAAAAAAAAAAAAAAAAGAAAAAAAAAAAAAACCTGAAAAGAGGTGTTTTCATCCAAAATCAATCCTTTTCTCAATAAGTTATTCTATACAAATGGATTACGATAATACATTTGACGATTATTATATATACATATATATATATATATATATATATATATATATATATATATATATATATTTCATTTTATTTAGAAATCACGAAAGGAAGAGAAGAGAAGATAGAAAAGGAAAGAGGAAAAAGAAAAGGAAAGAAAAGAATGATAGAGAGAATAATAATAAGGAACAAAGGAATGTTCTAACGTTTAGGAATTATATTAAATAAGATATTCGTACCTTAGAAATGAATAAGCAAGAAGCAGCAGAGAAGACAGAGCAAGCAAGTATATAGCTTGAGAACTGGTCGATCGGAGGCGTAGCCAGTCTCGTTCGTTGATTGGTCGGACTCGATGGCGTCAGCCATTGGCGGACGAGTGACGTGAGTTAGGCGTGTCGAAGGCGGCCGTTTCAAAGCGTTCTGAGTCGTCAAATGGGAGAACCATTCGAAAGTAATAGGAAAGGGATATTTGTGTGTTAGTGTGTCCTGTGTAAAAGCAGAGAGAGAAAGAGAGAGAGAGAGAGAGAGAGAGAGAAAGAAAAAGGTATGGAGAAGGAGAGAAAGAAAGGGAAAGAGATAGAGAAAAAGAGAGAGAGAGAGAGAGATACTCATTTCGACGAATGGTGGGGACAGATCGGCTCGAGTTCTCTTCCATCTCGCGGTGGCTACGAAACGAGTCTCACACACCGGTTCGCGCAGTCGCGTCGTACTCCTCGTGTCTCCTCCACACGTTTAGTTTTCTCCTCTTTCTAGAGGACGCGTCATCGAGTGATACCTATCCTCGTGCCTCGTTACCACCTCCTTTCTCCTCCCTCGCTCGGTCGCTCCTTCATCTTCTTTTTCTTTTTTTTCTTCTTCTTTCTCTCTCTCTCTCTCTCTCTCCTCCTCCTCCTTCTCTTCCTTTTTCTCCTTCTCCTTTTCTACCCCTCCACTTCTATCGCTATCACATTCACCCTTTTATCACCCTTCTACTTAGTTTATTCTATCATCCTCCTCTTTCATCTCTCTCTCTCTCTCTCTCTCTCTCTCTCTCTCTCTCTCTCTCTCTCTCTCTCTCTCTTGCTCTCTCTTGCTCTCTCTTGCTCTTTACTCTTCTCTTTCTTTTTATATAGTTCCTTTAACTATTTTCCTTTCTTCTCTTTTATTCTTCTTTTCGTTTCTTTTTTTTTTTTCTTATTGTTGTTTTCTTTTAATCCATTCTTTCTTTCTTTCTTTCTTTCTTTCTTCGTCCTTGGCGTCCTTCATATAGTCGACCATCGTCGCAGGTGGCGCCAGATCGGTCAGTCCTTTCGATTTGACTTAACCAAAAACGCGAGTTATAAACACGTGAATTGTATCCTTCGGACATTCGTTCGTCCTTCTTAATTTTTTCACCTTTTTTCACTTTTCTTTCGTTTCTTTCCTTTATTCTTTTTTCTTTTTTTTCTTTTTTTTGGTTCTCTCTCTTTCTCCTCCTCCTCCTCCCACGCCCATCCCTCACACATCCTCCTTTTTTTCCTTTCTTTCTTTTTTCTTTCGTTGCTGTGTCTAATTCTGAAATGAAATAAAAAGAAAGGGAGAGATAAGAGAGATCTTGAATCTCGCCGAAGTGGAAGCCGATCGGCAAAGTATCCGCTGGGCGGAGGTGGTGGAGGAGGAAGAGAAGGAGGAGGAGGAGGAGGAGGAGGAAGAAGAAGAGGAGAAAGAGAAAGAGAAGGAAGAAGAAATTACGAGAGTAATTCTGTCGGCTAATCAAGGTTCGTTTTTCTGATACATTAATTTCCTTTCGCTGATAGACAATGGTGATCGAACGGTTTCGCATAGGATTAATATCATTTAACACAATCGTTGTATAAATTATCAAATATATATTTCACTTATCTAATTTATATTAAAATAGACAAAATAATATAAATTTCGTTCCTTTAGAACGTCGTGCATAATGATCTTTGAAATAAATACTTTATAATCCATTTTAATAATAATAATTGTTAGATATATATCGTTACTCTTCGTATTATCGTTTACCTTTAATAATTTATTTCGTATTACAAAGTTACAACAATGATAGACACTGCGTTTGATATTATTATTATTATTATTATTTTTGTTTTTGTTTCGTTCTGTTTTCTTTTTCTCTCTTTTTTTTTTCCCTCTCTCGTGCAAGCTCGAATTCGCTTGTCTTTCTTTTTTTTGTTTTTTCCTTCTTTCTTTCTTTCTCTCTTTTTTTTTTCTTTTTTTCTTTTCGTTTCCTTTCTCTTCCTTTCCCTTTTTCGTCGTTTAACGCACGAAGATCGATTCCTCATTTTTAGCTTTGAACGACTTGTCAGCCATAATGGATTGCCACGGTTAAAACCCGACAGGTTCCTATTACAATCGGATTTTTCCTTCCGGGCTTGCATATCTAAGTACATATCTTATTTACTTATTTATTTATTTATTTATTTATTTAGTTAGTTATTTACGTGCGTATGTAAGTACAACTTACGTCCTGAGCTTAATTGGATTTTGTTTGTTTGAGCTTTAGTTTCTTGCGGCGAGCTTCGGCCAATCAGTTCGCGACGCTTACATACGTATTAAGTACTTACTTTACTTACTTAGTTATTTATTTATCTATCTACTTCTTAAAATCCCCGTTGGGCTTGTTCTCTTCATATTCATCTTCTTTATATTCTTCAATTGCTGCGTTTCTCGTCCTTTGTTAATCTTCAACCTTGATAAACGTTCATTTGCATAAAGCTAATAATAACGAGGATCTATATAAATAAGTACTTACTTATTTACGTTGGTATTTCAACTAACGTAATAACCATTCGACGTTGATTATTACTTCCTTTCTTTTATCGACTTGTTCAATACGAACGAGATGCGATTTCATTTTCTCACATGTTAAACGTTGTAATAATCAAATACTTTTTATTGATTAATATTAATCAATTTTCTTTTTTTTTTTTTTTACTAATTAATTAGTCAGTCAGTTAGTCAGTCAGTTAGTTAGTTAGTTAGTTAGTTAGTTAGTTAGTTAGTTAGTTAGTTAGTTAGTTAGTTAGTTATCTTCTTGATTATTATGAAAGCAGATTAAATACAAATTAAAACATATGTATCTATGTAAGATCGAGATGATGATAATTAATATGTCGTTGAAACTTCGTTAAGACACGAAAGAATTACGATCTTAATTGCGTGTCTTTTCAAGATATATATATATATATATAGTTTGGTACTTACCTACTTAACGACGATGAAGTCTAATTATTTTAAAAGAATGTCTTTATCGAACTATACGTCTTTTATTATTTTGTTTTTTTTTTTTTTCATTCCGATTAAAAATTTATTAAATATAATTATAATAATATCTTATAATAATATTTCTAGACAGAACTTTATTATATCGACGAAAGAGAAACTGATGATATTATTTCGTTATCGATAATAATAGGTATAATGTAAATTAATGCTATTGAAACGTAGGTCTATCCTGGCGATCGCAAATTTTTTATTAAATGCGAAAAATGGTATATATATATATACATAAATATATATATATTATAAAAAATTCTATTGAATTCTGTCTTCCCAAGCGAAAACAAAAAAAAAATTTAACAATAATCGATTCTTTATTACCAAAAAATATTTAGATATTTCCGAATTGTTCGAATGGACTTTTATTTCGCTAGCACGAAAGCGATTAGGTTAATTCGAAGCTTTTAAAATTCGGGGTAGGGACGAAATTATAATTGCAAATAAGATTGTGCGATAATATGTGGGAAGCGATGGAACGAGAGAAACATAGAGAATGAGAGAATGAGAGAGAGAGAGAGAGAGAGAGAGAGAGAGAAATAATTGAGAGCTACATTTCTCTCTCTCTCTCTCTCTCTCCCCCCTTCTCTCTTTTTTTATATTTTTCTTTCGAAGCAAAAGTCAGTCTCTGCCCTTCGGTGAGATTATGAGTAATGCGTTCTCCGGCACGTTCTTCACGCGTTTCTCTTTTCCTTTTTGACTCGTAGCCCCTCTTACCTCTTCTTCCTCTTCGTCGACCATCGTCGTCCTTCCTTTCCGCAGGACGCTGATAGAGAGCAGCTCTCTTCTCTTGGGCACGGTCGTCCCATTAGCGTAATGGCTCTTGCGGTATAGTCTTCGCATTTAACTCACCAAATTTCTCTCCTTTCGTCTTCGCTCGCAGTGCTAAAACAAACTTGGCTCCTTCGTTAAAAAAAAAAAAAAAGAAGAAAAAAAAAGAAAAGAAAGAAAGAAAGAAAGAAAAGAGGAGAAAATAAAGCCTTTACATTCTAATCTAAAACTAACATAACTATTTCGAGTTCGACGCATGGCTATTTAAAAATCTTCCTCTTATCTCTCGACACGTGTAAGTACGAATTGTTATTTAAATATTTAATTTATTTCTTAAGCACATAGTTTACGAAACGTTGCGTCAGGAAGAAAATTTTCTTGTTTTCTTTTTTCTTCCTTCCTTCCTTCCTTCCTTCCTTCTTTTTCTTTTTCTTTCTTTTTTTTTTCTTTTATCTAAGTTAAATAATAGTATTAGTAGTAGTAATTCTTAATCGTAACATTATTTTTAAATATCGTTGCCATCTACGTGAGATTTATTCGATTTTAATTATTCCTTTCTTTTCTATCTTTATTTTTTTTCTTTTCACTTTTATTTTTATTGTCAACAGGTATAAGGTTAATTAATATTTATGTATTTTTATTTGTTGACAGTGATGTTATTGGTTATATTTAATCTTAATTTTCTTTTTTTATACTAATAAAATTTGAATAATATTTACATTTGAAAGATTTATTTAACATTAATCACATTTATTTAATATTAATTATCTTTATATATGATCATTAATGTTTATTAATATTTTATACGTTGACCATTGGCCTTGACAAATTAATCATGAGATTATTTCAGACGAATGTTTAATACCTACCTAACAGATTTATTTAAATTTTAATTGATATTTATTTATATATAACGATTATTAATCTCCATTAATATTACGAATTTGTATTCGTTAATATTGATCATATTAAATTAATTGTGATATTATTTCAAACATATAAACAAATACACACACACACATACATATATATATATATATATATATATATATATATATCGAATTATTAATATTACAAATTTTATATTCGTTGACGTTAACGTTGTTTAAATTAATCTATTGATATATAAATGATCGATAGATATATATCTGTCAATAGAATAATTAATTTAATTTTAATAAAGACTTTACGACGTGGATTAATATTATGGATTATGAATTTTTATTTCTATCTTCGTTAATTGATTCGAGAGATAAATTAAATCTCAAGTGGTAAAATTAATAGAAAATTTGAAAAGGATCCAATGAGATTACTTCGTAGAGTGACTGTACTTGTTCGCCGTAGTACGGTATAAGTTCTGATAGGGAGGGCAGGTTTTAATAAGAGAAGGATTGAGAGCTCCGCTCTCTCGTAGCGCTCTTAGCCACCACGAACGAACCTGTGGTGGTGGGCTCTTTCCTTCTCGCAGGACGACGAGATAGCAACAATAAATAACTTGTCCCTCTCTCTTTCTACCAGCTAAAAGCATCCTACCAGGTTGCGATCCTTGCCACCCGGTTTTCATTTGCGAAAGGAACGCGACACGCGTTCTCTTTACTTTTCAACGTCTAATCTCATTTAAACGTTTATAAACGTTATAAACGTTGAATTGTGTACAATAAGATACGATTGTCAATTCATGAAACGCGATTGTTTATTTATTTTCATCAATATTTCTAATGTAATATTTTACGTGAGATTTTTTTTTTTTTTTTTTTTTTTTTTTTTTTTTTTTTTTTTTTTTTTTTTTTTTAGATTTTCACGTTATACAAAAGTGTTAGCGTATAGCCGATTATGAGTAAATCGTAGAAAATTAATAAGAAATCTTGTTTTTTTTTTTTTTTTTTTTCTTCTTATGTACATTTGATATTTAATATTTAATTAAATCGATGATAACAGTAATTTGATAAAGAATATAAATACAATTTTTCCTGTTTTTTTTTTTTTTTTTTTTTTTTTTTTTTTACAATTAATTATTCATACTGCGATCATTCGCAATATCCAGTTTTTATTATAAGTATAATACTTATCATTGATTAATAAAATGACCGTGATGGTAAATAAAATTGTTACTTAGAAATATCAATATTTCAATTCGTTTCTATTCTAAAAAAAAAAAAAAAAAAGGAAAAAAAAAGAAAGGAAAAAAATAAATTAATAAATGAACAGTTCAGAAAAAGAAGAGAAAAATTGACAATTTGATCAAAGATAGTTATTATTGAGTCTTTATCGATGAGAATAAATAAAGGAAAAAAAAAAAAAAAAGAAAAGAAAATTCGCAATGGATTTCATTCGTAAGAAATATCCTATCCACCTTTTTTTCTATCTATCTAAAGAATGACGTTAGGTTTATCATTAAAAATGAAACGAGTCCGAGAAAATGTTACGATATTTGTTTTTCTACGAAAAGAGTTAAAAGAAATATCATATAAATAAAAATTATATATATGATCAATTACGTATTCTATGAGTCACGATTAGTTATAGGATTTCTAAAACGAAGAGAAAATGGAGAAAATCTTTAAATTTGCAAAATATCTAGAATTTAAATTATCCATTGTTATTCTCGTACTTGAGTTCGTCCGATATTAGAATCATATCATCTTATTCATTCGATATTTTTATATTTTATTTGTAGATAAAAGAA